TCCAGTACCTCTCGCTTCTGCTTAGACTTACTCCATTGCCTCCCATTTCATTGCCCCCTTTTTGGCAGGGAACCACCCTGCCGTAGGTGGAACCCCACGTGCTCTGCAGCGCTTCCCACGGGGACAGCTCCGCCACTGCACAGGTACCGTTTTTCTCTCTGCTTCTCAACGCTGTCTCAAATGCTCTAACAATTTTATGGGTTTCCCTGTCCTGACAAGCTCTCTTACTTTTACCTTATTTCATTTTGCTCTTTTCTCCCATGGTAGTTTACCCAGCCATCGATAGTCCTGGACTCCGCTTTCCACTTCGAGTTTGCCCCTCCTAGGGCATTTTTTTCAACCAAATTTGACCAGTGTCATTGACAAATCCAGGTGACAAATGAAATCAGTGTGAAGGAATCAATACTGATCCCTGCTGTTTCTTCTCCCTTCATTCTATAACCTATTTCTTCCCCCTGCTGCAAAAGCTTAGTGGAGTTTGGATGTGTTTTTGTCGTCGTCGTTGTCTGTCTTGGGATTACCACTTACGTTAAAATCATTCACTACCCAAAATCATTCAAGGTGCTGACACACATGTGCTTAAACTTGCTCTTGGGGATTCTTAAATCTGCTGCAAAGATAGCTCACTAATCGGAGGCAAATTCATATGTGCATTAACAAATCAACAACGTAGTCCTGGAATATGTAAGTAGAAACATTTCTTCAGCAACCTAGCAATCTGTAGCTGATGCTTGAAAAAGTCCTTCTTGTTCACCAAAGGAATAATAGACAGGATTTTAAGTTATTCCATCTTAAAAAAAAAAAAAAACAAGCACTCTCCAAACAACATTGCTTTTTGATTACTGCAAACTTTAAATTATATGAGGAAAAGCAAAGTACCTTCTGTGGTATTTTTGAACCGTACTCAAAAACAAGCTGTGAGGTGGGGAAAAGACCTCTCACATTTGACCATATGAATTTTGACTTTAGTCACAAGTTCCCATCCTGGAGGCATGCAAAGCTGATATTTCGGTAATTCACTTAAAACCCATTCTCAGAGCTCATACAGGAATCCTGTGTGTTTGAAAATTTTTTAGCAAAGCAAGCATTTTTGCCTAAAGCCTAAACAGGGGGGAACAAAACACCTTTGGAAACACAGCTGCTGAGTTCAGAACACTGAAAGGTGAAAAACTTCTCTGTCAAGAAACCTTTCCCCCCTGCCCCTTTCTCCTTCCCCAGAGGGGTGGATCTGTGAAAGTAACAGCATTTCCTATCACCCCTGCTATCATAGACAGGATAATTACAACAAATTAATGTATGTGTGTGTGCGTGTGTGTAAGCACCTAGATATTAGTACTGCTTCAAGGCAAACTGCCCTACAGAAGTTTCCCGATTCTTCCACGCTGCACACCTGGCTATGGTGCAGAACAGAGAGATATGGGGCAAGCAGTATTTTAAATCTGTTTTATCTTGCATGCAACACTTCAGATCACTAAACAAAGAAATATCCACTTCCTTTTCCACCATTTAGCTATACATATCACATATAAAAAATGCAGTCCATGTCAGGTTCAGACAGTGCAGTAGTAGCCAACATAGTAACAGAAAACAATAAAATCAGCCTCAACAAATCTAAAGGATTCAAATTACTACTAAAAACAACTTTCCTGAGTCCCAGTACAAACCTTGGGTCACAAAACTGCATCTCTCCAAGACTGCACTAGAAGACAGCCACTAGACAGAGTGGCTCTCTTGGCTCTTGCAGGTGACTGACAGCGCTCAGTCTCTGTAAGGCTGTCAGATACTAACGTGAACAGGCAACACTCACTAGTTCACCTGCCAACTGCTGGTCAGTGGGAAACAGGAGGAGAAAAGATTCCCTCCCATTCTCACAGGGCAACTTTCTATCCATTTCCCAGTTGAGTTTCTGCTCTGTAAAGTGATTCTAAGAATTACTTTAATTCATGGCAACTACAAGTAGGCTTCCTAGACTGAGGAGTTACTTTTTTTTTTTCCCCTCCACATGCCACAACCCAAAAAATGAAAAAATTCAGAATCTCTTAACTAGTCATAAGAGTAATTACTTTAACACCTGTTCCCCCAGACTGAAACCACCTCCTGGATAAAACTGCCAGATGCACGAGTGCTACTTGTGGAATTTGCATGCAGATGTCTCCTCTCAGAATATTGGGAGAATTTTCTCACCGATTTTATCGGAAAGAAAATGTTCTTTTGCAACACGCTTCTTCTGCATTTGGAAAAGGAATGGAACCAAAACTTTGTTTTTAAAGATGCTCCTTAGAAGTAGCATTATTTATGGCTTGCATTCTTAAGTTGTCAAGTGTAGGTTTAGTCCAGAGCTCTACCAGTAGTAGTGCCTTTTAGGACTTAAACCTTAATGTTCCTGAGAGAGAGTTGTTCCAGACTGCTACCTCTGCTTCTTCAGGGGCTGCAGCAACACCCATGGCAAGACTGCTGCTATATCAGTGCGTGTAGCTGGAATGTGACCAGAGTGGCTCTGGGAGATGGATCCTTGTCCAACTTGTGGCTTCCACTGATGCCTACCCTGAGCCACGAGCTGCACGGAGGAGAATTCACGACAGACAGACCCTTCCACGCACTCTAGATCCATCTACTCTAGATCCAAACATTCATTTTACTTGCACATTCCTTCAAGCAGCCGCCCACAGGCTGGGGAGGAAGCTTGTTTTGTTTCTGTGCTTATGCTTTTCTGACACATTCCAGTGGACTAATTGCTAACTCTGTTGTGCAATTTTTCCATCTTTGGTCAAGCTGCCTACATCTACTTGCCTGGGAAAATAAATTTGACTAGATATATTCATGCTAAAGCTAGGGCAAAATTCAGCTTTATCATTTCTCTGTTACTTCTGTGAGTATTAATCAAAATGAAAATCTTCAGAGAAGCTAGTGGATGCCACCACACAGAGGTTTTATAAACACACTATCATTTTTAACCAGGTTGAGCACCAGAAATGTAATTCAGCAGTATGTGCAAGTTTCAGGTAAAAAGCCATCTAAAAAAGTTTACACCAATATTATGGCATAGAAAATAGTTTGTCTTGTGTACACCCCCTAACACAACCTGGAATGTAAATCGGGTGAGGAATTGATAGCTACTGCCGCTTCAAAGCATTTGGACATCAAAAACAGGAGCATAATGTAATGTTTATTTGCAGCCCTCATTATCTACAATCCAGCATTCATCACTTCTCATACAAAATGTACCACAGCTGCTTTCTATATGAACCCTGCCTCAATTTAATAGATTCACAATTGCATTCAACTAAGGCATTTGCTAAAGACTGGCTACTGCTGCAGAAGTATTCCTTGAATTCTGTGGCCTCTGTATCAGAAATAGGAAAAGAATCGCCGATGGCCAACTGAAAAATTACCAAAAAGCTTTAATTCAATAACCGTAAACTCCTAAGAAACAATCATGGAAGGAGCAGTGTTGGCTGCAAGATCTTTATTTCTTCCATAAAAGAGGAAGGACTACATTATCTTAGCAGAGAGCTTCCAAATTCTTTTATGCAAGATGGTTCAAAATACATCCACAGCTTTTGGGGAGCAAATAAATAGCCTTGCTTCAAACAGCAACCATAAGGAAAAAGCTGTTCAAAACTGGTCACACTTTGCACTCCTTAAGAAGCTGAAAAGAAAGGGAAAAACAAAGCAAAACCACAGCTTGCTCATGTGGTAAGGTAGAAGTATAAAAATGTCAATTATTTAAACACTCAGTACTTCTCCAGAGGAACGTCCTTGCAGAAACAAAAGCCATCGCTGTGATGTAAGTATCTTTTCAGTGTCACTTTAAAAGCTACACAATCTTATCTGTATATGCAAAAACTAATAATGCCAGAGGATAGAGAAAGCAAGTAGGCAGTCCACCATTCCGTGGCATTAAAAAGTGATTAAATGAAATTCACAAACGGCTTAGTGACATTTCTGATACACTAATCATATAGCAGTGCTTTAAATACAGAAACAGACCCATTATCAAAATATTCCCTTTAAAAAACTTGTATCTCAGAGGAGTACTTAATGTATTTATTGTGTGGAGATAATGGCTTTTCACTTCAAATTTAGAAGAACATGGATGAAAAGAGAAGCTGTATGCCCTAGCAAGAACAAGTACAAAACTCATTCTCCAAGTCTCCATACTTGGAAATAGTTGACCCAATTTATGAGCCCATCTTAAAATCAGTCTGTAATGTTAGAGTCATTAAATGGCAGAGCATTCAGCAATAGGGATCAACCACTCTCTTGAAGCAAAACTTAATTCTTTTAACCAATAGATTGGTTGAAATTTGCCACGAGAATCACAGCTGAAAGCTCAAATATTTTGTACAAAAAGTCACATACAGACGCACTGTTTCCCAGTATTACCTATAACCATAGTTCTCCCCTCCCACAGTCCCCAAAAGCAGAATCGTTTCACACCTTTGCCACTGCATTATCAGTAGTTTTTATACAGAGGCTGTACAGTTCTAACAAGTACAAACACTTTGCTCATTTCTTAAATTCAGCAAGTTGCATTTTCTGAGACAGGGCTTCATTTCAAACAGCCACACCAACGAAAGCCTCACTGTATGGCAGATGCCAGAAAAGTCTCAAGCTGACAGACTGGATTTTAAATCTGTCACAGAAACACATTTAGAATCCTTCCAGCTAAGCACAGTGCACAATTAACACTCATCTGCCTAGACAAACTTAACTTTTATTTGTCCATTTATTTTAATCTGTGCTTACCTCCATTTTTGATCAGCACACTAGATTTCTCCAACAATGTTCATCCAGAAGCAAGCATTTTTGGGCTAGTCATCCACTTTGGAGTCGTACTGCTCAATACAGTTGTAAGCAAACTGATTTGTGCAGGATTTTCATATTTGAAAGCATATTAATAACTGTATACAGAAATTGGCATTCAGTAGTATTGCCTTTTTAAGTAGACATTTTCAATTGCAAACTCATCTATTTTCACAATCAGAACATTTTTGTCCGAAAAGTTTATTTTAGATTTCTGAACACTCGGAAGCAACTGCTTTTGATGTTATACAAGTGTCCAGATGAGATTAACAAAATTAAAATGTTCTAAATTACAAATTTAATTCCTGTAAGAGCTTCAGAAAAGAAATAGAACAGAAGAGCATGACATACACACATTGTGAAGAAACCCCAACTTTTCATGCAATGGCAGGCAAGATGTAAAAAGCCACCCAATTCACACATTTGTACACCGAATCATCAGAAAAGTACTCTGTAGTAAATCTGTACATCCAAATACATTTGGGATCTACACCTAAGTTACATTATTTAATGTTATATACATTTATTACCCCTGTATAATGTCTAAAGCAAAATATTCAAACCCAAACCAAAAAAAAAAAAAAAGACTAACTTGGAAAAAAGGAGAATCACTTTAGACATTCAGTTAAAATGTTGGTTTTGTTTTAATCTAGTCCTCAATGTTTATTAAAAACAAAATCCTCTTCATTTAATATTTGCTTTCTAACTGTACAGTAAATTGCATTGCAGAGAACACATCCCATTTTTAGACTGTATTTTCTTTGGATGGATTTAAGATGTAACTGGATTATTTTAAAGATAAATAAAGGGAAGTTGGTCCAACTAGAATGATAGCTGATATATTACATGCATACGGGTTTTTTTATATATTTTAAGTTACTTTTTTAAACAAATGAGTGTAGGGTATAGTTGATATTGCAAATAAACCAAAAAGCACCTGGTTTCAAAATATAAAACATACCTCCTTATCCTGACGATGGCAGTAAAAATCAGAAAAGTAATCTTTCTGGAACAGCATTTTTACATAATTTAGAAATGTTAAGTACCAGGAAGACTACTAATCAAGTAGTTTTAGCAGCCACGTTTCCCTCTTTTTATTGAATGGAACAAATGCTTTAAATAAACCGTTTGTCCTCTTCACTGAAGAGAGCTAGTCTATTCATCTTTAATGAGCTAGTTTTTTTTTTTTTCTTTTTTCTTTTTTTTTGGGAAGAAGATTAGCCACGTACTGTAGTAATGCCTACTGCATATAATCCAAGCATTTGCTGTGAACAGTTGGAGAAAGCAGTCAGTAAGAACCTAGGATCAATGAAATAGATGTTACTTTAAGCCATCCACAAAACGGAGACCCATAGAGTGCCCAGTGTTAAAACCCAAATCTCTTCTCGCGCTTTTTGCTGTGCAAGTTCATCCCCATGAAAACACAAACTGATCCATAGTTCAATTTTCGTATTTCCTTAGTCAATTTTCACATTAGTGTAGATTTTACGAACAAAGGCACTTGTTCCCATGTAACCAATAGCTCCTGCAAAATAAACACAAAACGTTTAATGTTAGAGCTGATCATCAAAACAAAACACAAACCCAACACACTTTAACCAGAGAAAGTCACATAAATCATGTACTGTGCAAAGGAAATAATTTACCAGGGGCGCTTATTCTCAAATTCTAATTATCCCGGCTCCCAGTGAATGTCTGCCACGAACTGCCCCAGTCTAGTGATCTAAATCTATTAAGCCACCTTACCAAGAGGCCATGCTCACTTGGCCTCGATAAATGTAGCAGCCCCCCTACGGCTGCCAATAACCGGGTCCTTCTTTCTGAACAGAGGGTAGAAAACATACAATCCCAAGCTCTGCAGGGAAGGGAGATGGGAGGGCGGGTTTTTATTATAAGTTACATGCCTTCTGGATGAGTGTTTTATTGGCAGATGGCTTTTTTCTTACCATGAGGCACAAATAATAACAGAGCCCCATCCCAGGAGTTTAAAACCACAAGGAGGTCTGTACAAAAAGATTAAATTAGTAGCAGTTAGCAGTTAAAGGAAATTGCAACCTGTGGTTTTCACATCAGTAAGAGTCATGAGTAGAGTACGTACTGTCACAGCAGTAATAAAAGAATGGGTCACTGGGTTTTTGATCGGGGCAACAGTTTAGCATAAAAATCTAAAATACTGAAGGCCTAAGGTCACCTGGAAAGATGAAAGAAACGCGCAGGACCAAGAAAGATCAAGAACTCCTCTCAGACAGGGATTCAGATGGTCAAATCCAGCAGCGCAGGTTTGCCAGGCTGAGCAGACAGTGTCAATTCTCACAGCAAATACCCTACTGGGGGTTCCTCATTGCTTGCAAGCAGAATAAGACTAAACTAGCCTTCTGAAAGTCCGTTTGGCTAATTCTCAGATTAGAAGTGGGATTGAAAACCAAGCAAGAAGTAGACAGAACTGCTCTCAGACAGCTACAAAAAGCATATCATTAAATATCAAAAAAAGAAGATAGAGAAGTCAGGGCCTGTCACTTCCTACAGATAAAGAGAACCCTTAACACCAAACATTTGGATGTTCAGTAAAGAATAGACTCTAAACAGAAGAGAGACTCTTGTTTCTTTGGAACAATGCAAAAAATGCCAGGATGAAGCATGAAGCAGCATTCTTGGTGATCTAGGATGCATGAGACTTGCACAAGATGAGCTAAATACAAAACCCTAACCGTTATTAAGAAAAATTGACAACAGCTTTCCTTTTCACTAAAAGTAGAAAGTTTTTTCTTCTGTTTAGAAATCTTTATTTCTAAATAACTCTTCAAAATTATAAATATCACTGCATATTTTCTGGCCTGTACTAGTTTAGCTTAAAAGGCCATAACCGTATCTCAGCAGAACAAGCCTTTAAATAAACTAAACTCCAAAGAAACCAAGTAGTCAGACAAAGCATCCACAGAACACTAAAATACTGACTCTCTTCTCTTCATTCAAAACAATTAACACTCATTACAGAAGTGATTTTGTAAAAACAAAAAACAAATTACCTTCAATCATCCAGTGTTTATCTGGATGTGGAAGTATGGCACTACCAAAGGGCACAATTCACCTAGCTCTAATGCCATCTACTGAGCTAGGGAACAAGTTTTGTCCTTATCTGTCACTGGGGGAGAAAAGTGAGGAGCTCAGAAGATTTACAAGTTCCCATGGACTCCCTACTGTCCAGCCCCTGAATACTCTGCAGAGGGCAACAGCCTTTGCGAAATCAAAGCATCCCACCACAGGTGGGATTTGAGTTCATTAAGTCTGATCAGGAGCATTAAAACAGGGCAAGATGATACCAGTCTGCAGAGATTCTCCTTGGGGCTGCTTTGGATCCTAACTAGTTCATCTGATAGCCACCTGTATGTTACTGAACATACCCATTTGCATGCGCATGGAAAGCAGAGCTCTACACGCTTTCCACAGGGGACATACAGTCAGTAACATGCACAAGGCACAAGTCTCAAACACAAATGTCTTTGTTAGTCTTCAGTGGCAGCCAGCTCCTTGCACAAATACTTTTTGACAGGGGATTTCCACATCCCCCCTCTCAACATGTTAAAAATAGAAGCCCTCAGTAAAAAGGAATCTCACAGCTTCTCTTCCAATATACAGTTAAAAAGACACAAAAAAGTCTCAACAGGGCTGTGGGAATACAATTCAACACCTAAGACAAGTGTTTTCTGATTCTGAAGAAATGCAGACTTTGCTCTAACATTCCATCAAGTAATGTCGTCCCATCATGAAAGGAAGGTATTTGACAATCTGCCTGTTCAATGTTTTAAAAAATATTTTAATTACAGAATCTTGTGTGCAAGCTCAGCTTCTGCATTACAGACATTTTAATCAATACCAGACTGAACACTTTAAAAAGAAGAGATTAGAGCTGAAAGCTATAAGCCTATTAAAGAAAGAAATGGCTGCAAGACTACCAGAACAGCAGGGAAGTCTTGTAATGTGCCAAGAACTTGATGAGGCAAGATTAGATTTCATGAGGGAGAAAGGAAACAGGTCCTCGACAGTTAGAAATGATTTTCTCCCCTTCTGATGAAACATTTTGAAACCAGCTTCTTGGGATATCAAGATATCTGCACTTTACAGAAAGATCAGTCCTGTAAGATATCATGGGTTTCAAACCTCTAATTCACAGAAGGTCTTTCATTATAGTCTATAGGACTATTCATTTACCAACAGGAAAAAGGTGTTAAGTAAGGATAATGCATAAAAAAGCAAAATGCATCACACAAGTGCAGAAGAACTATACAGCACTTTCTGGAAGTCAGAGTGAGTGATGAAAATAAAGCCAACAGGTAAACAAGTACACTTGACTTCATCAGATGGCCTTCGTTACAGAGCATTTTTCTCTAAAGATTCTCAAAAAACGACCTCTTAACAAGCAATGCAACTCAGCTGACACAAAACAGCACCTGTTCTCTCCATATCTGTGAATATTTCGATGCTTATTTCCCAAACACTATCCCGAGGCTTCAGTTCATTCTGTATCGTATCATTCACACACACATGCTACAAGATACAGATGGTAGCACCACCAAAATAAGGTATCACTGACACTTCAGCAAGTATCTAGCTCTTTGTAATGAGACAATAGCAAAAACTCCAAACAAAAGCATTAACATGCATTCAGCTTAACCTGAAAATTATTTTGCAGAATTCAGTGCATTGAAAAAGTTTCTATTACTGTATTCTGATCGAATACCCAGTCTTTTAACCTTTCACTGAGGCTGAAATTCTTGGCACAGTACATAAAAATTATTTCCTATCTGAAGAAATAAACCACAGAAGCCTCCTAAGCTAGTAATAGCAGGTGTGTATAACCAGAGAACTAGGGTGTCTTTCAAAAGACTGTAAGGTTTGTTTAGCAGATCTGACACACACACATATTCTCGATCACAGAACCAAAATCAGAAACATGACCATGTGATAAATTTGGACAGTTTATTTTCAATGTATTTGAAACTTACCACACATAATCCCCAAAGCTGTGCTAAATACTGCCATATAACCAAAGTAAAATGATGTTTGAAACAAGCCATACATCCTGAAAAAAAAATTAAAAGAATTGCCAGGTTACTTGCCCATTCTTCCACAATATGAATTATTCTACAACCTAAAGCATGCTTAAAAAAAACTTCCTTGGCTTAACAATAATCATACCATCAAGTAAGAAAATTACCACTTACTTTGTCTTGAAAAAGTAGTAGTAAAAGGAGTACATGTAAACATATATCGCAGTTGACGCAGCAGACAGAAAGCTTGTCCATTGCCTGAAAATAAACACACATCTAACTGAAATAGACACACAACAGGCTAAAACAACTTGTTCTGAGAAGTGTATTGATTATCTATAGACTTATTTAACAAAATCTACATGTACTCTGCTTCAATGGTGGCAACCATTGCTGATATCAAAAGATGAAATTTTTGATATTGAGCATAGAGTTTTTTTTTTTTTTTTTAAATGCATCTACACACATGCACAGCTCCTGTACGGGAAGACTTCAAGAACCAGGCATGCATAAGCAAGTTCTCCCTTCTACAACGCTGAGAGCTAAATCTGGACATGAGACACTTTGAAAAGATCTGTTCAGACTCAAGAACAAGTACTTTCACAGAAAACAGTCTTGATCTGGTTATTTATGCAAAGAAATACAATACTTACCACCTGTAATCCTCTGCATTTAGCAGGAAATATGTACAAACGATAGTCACACAAACTGTCACGATGCAGAGGATAACTAGAACCAACATCATAAAGCCATAAACATAGTAGATCTTGTAAGCCCAGAAGGAAGTAAAAATGAAATACCTGAAGAGAAGAAATCAAATATGCAATGACATTGTAATGAGACAAATTATTAGGAGCTTGAATCACCTGCATAAATAGCTGACAAACTTACATTTCAATAAAAATTGACCCAAAAGGGAGGATTCCACCTAGGCAAACAATAACAGCTGGTTCCATGAACCTGAAAGATATTAAGATTTGTTTAGGGACAGTTTTAATCTTTCATTTATAAACATATATTAAGATAAAAGACCCAATAATTAACATAGCAAGAATATATGTAAGCAGCATGCTAACAAGTACTTTTCTGTTTTACACCAGTATGTTGGAAAGGCAATTTTCCCAAAGATGTCATATGTATGGAGAAGAAAAATTTTTTGTGAGGAATCCTAAGCAAAGCTTATCAACCTTAAAGGTTACAGAAACAACGCCTCTTTTCCAAAAAGGGCCTAACAATAAAGTCCCTTAACATCCACCAGCCTTGAATAAAGTCAGTGAAAACTCAGTGCTGTTGATCACCATACATCTAATACTGAAAAAAAAATAAAAGTTTTATGGTCATTTAAATAAGGATCACTGTACTTTTTTAGTGCTATACTCAGAGTGTCATGAGCATATAGCCAAAAATTAATGCTCAGCTACCTGTAGATGATACTGTTACTTACTAAAGGTGACCTCTTTGTAGTACTCACAATGACACCGAATCTAGCTAGCAGTGATTTAATTTACAGCTTCTTTAATTATTTAGAAGGATACTTGCCTAATTTGAGGTGTGCAATTTCATCTTCATGAAGACTATCTTATTTCTTTTTATCTGTCATCCTGATCCAGCAAAAAGCATCAGTTTCCCATGATACAGACCACGCTATAAATCAAATCCTAGCTTCTCAGCTGTGCAACCCGCCACTGACAAGAGACTAAGTGTGCTGTATTTCCTGGATATTGCAAGTGTACACGTTTCAGTGCCCCCTTTACCCCGTTGGTTCCATTCCTCTGAACAGGAAAGGCAAGAAAAATCTATTTTACAAATCCTCTGAGGATATTATTTCCATAGCTTGCTGCTTCCATCTCAGAATGAAATTAATAAGAAAAAGCAACTGCATTTGTGATACACCAAAAAGCTAAGCCTACTTAGACCAGGCATCCATAGACATTCACTTCAAAAATAATTAAAGCTTATGCATGATGTGAACTATGTACTTGGCTCTATGCCACCCAAAAAGGCACAGAAGAGGGAGCAGTATTGCAAACTTCTCCCCACCAACACCTTGCAAATGTGTGTCAGCCTGAACAGGGAGACCATTAAGCAGAACAGTTCTGCCTCCAAGGCACATTCAATCCTAAATCTGTCAGAGGCATTAAGTAAAGAAGAGAAATTTTGTTTCAAGACAGCCATATAGGAACTGTGTTGGGACCATCCCTATTATATAAGAGGCTGAACAGCAATTCAGGCCAAACATAAATCAGTGATCCAAGACTATAACTACTGCTACAATTATTAACCATTAATTGCAGTTGGAATTTCTGTTCAAGAGAAAAATTCTGCTACAGAAACATCAGTAGAGGTGTTTTTAGACAAAACTCTAAACCTAAAAAGTTATTAAAAACCAAACAAATCAAGCCACGTCCCGGAGTGAATAATTCTAGTTTACATGCACATGTCCTTACCACTTTTTCTCTGGTATGGGACGAGGAACTGCATTAACACGACAGGGAAAATTAGGCTGTCCCGACAGATTCCGGCCAAGAATTGTGCCAACCAGGTTCAATGGAAGAATAACAAAGAAGCAAATACAACACACTGCCACCTGTAAATTAAAAACAGGGATGAGAAGACAGAAGGGAATATGAACAACCCACCCTGTATATATTGGTGCTTTTTAGTTATCACTGTTAGAACAACACTTATTGAAGCAGTATACAGTATGCACCCTCCAGAAAACTTTACCATGAATTATCTTTTATGCAATACACGCATGTACCTCTACTTTTGCTGTTCATGGAAGGCAATACACTCTATCTTGCAAAATAAATAATTTTAAGTGTTTAGCAAGGTGTTTTCTACTACTGAATCTTTCACAGAAATGAACAAGCATTACATAGCTTGGTACGTTTTTTGATATTGATAATTAAATACAGAGCAGTTTCCTGCAATGCAGTAACTATAGTTCTTCTGAATGGCCCATGCCTTGTCCCTGCACCTCCAGAGTCAAAGCTGCTCTACTTCTCTTTCATTCCATCCTAACAAGGCCCATGGCAGCAAATTAATCCAAAACAGGGGAGAGGATCGTGGACTGACTTGTCCAGTGTTACCACAGTAAGTGAAGGCTCCTCACATACATTATATCTATAGAAACCTACTGCAGGCAACTGACAAGTAATAACTCCTAGGCCTCATGGGAAAAGAAGTTGCATCACATCAACTATTACACAAGTTTAAGGCAACATCTGCCTAAAGTGAGGCTACTGCTGCCTTGCATACCATTACCAGCTTGGGCCAAATGCAGATTAAAAATGTTGCCTGGGGTTGGATGGAGCAACTGTTGATACTTCTTCACAGAAGAGATATACGGTGCAAATAGGCAATAAGCAGAAGCACTGTCCAAAATGCTTTATAGTTAAGAGGTTAATTAAACATTAATATCATACACCACTAAAACTTGGAAGCTTTAGTTGTAAATAAGAAGACACTAAGTAGTTTTTACATCTGACAACACTAATAAAGCAGAGCTCACTACACATTTAATATCTCCCATCTATCTTCTTCCAATACAGGAAAAAGACCGGCAATCAAGCAGAGTGATTTAGGTAGGACTCTGAGGTCACCTAAGAATGATTTGCAGAGGAAGTGTGAAACTACTTAGCCCTCACTTAATGGATGGAACTCTGCTACTTTGCTCTTGAAAGCAGCAAAACTAGGACAAAAAAAAAAAAAAAAAAAGGGCAGATAACAATTTCAGCATAAAATGTCCCCAAATATCTGAAACATCAAAGAGCAGCATCTTAAGTCCCACATTTAACGAAATCCTTTTAAAAGCCTTCAGCATCACAGGACAAGATAAGAAGCACTACTACTAAGGCAAATAACAAACTGAAATCCTCCTAAATAAGCCTGTGCAACTCCTGATTGGGAAGTCTCAGCTTGTTCAAGGTGCACTCGTTAGAAAAGATGTTCAAGAAACAAGGCCTGGGCAAAATCAAAAAAAGAGCGCCTCTACGGAGAGCAATGTCTATTTGAAAGAACAGCTTGCTTTGTTGGAGCTGCTTCCTAACTGCACAAGAATGTCTCAGTGTCACGAGCCATCTCTGTCCACGGTCTCAGGGCTTCACAGGCAGGCTGCAAAGCTGGCTGAAGCTGGGATCAAATACAGTTAGCATGAAAGGGCATCCCTGTTACTCATCCGCACAGACAGTTAATAATTCAGAGTCATCACAATGTTTGTGGCTTCCTTTCTTGATCTCAAAATTACCTCAGATTAGGCAGAGTGACAGTTAATCCACTTCTCTACTGCAGAAATGAAGTGTCTAGCAATAGCCTAACAGTCTATCTTGCAAAACAAGCCCATCATGGAAAATCCTCATGGAGGGGGTATAGCCTCAGATAAGGAGCCACACTAGGACCACGCAGTGCTACTTTCTGATTAGAGAGCAAACTCCTAGATGAGAAAAGGTGAGCAAAGGCAGTCTTGAATAACGGCCTCAGTGAGTACTGCCAACCTTTCCCCAGCACATCCATCACTAGTGTCACCAGAAAGCTTGTACACTTGTGGGTGCATTATCAGCTCAGCCAAGCCAAGTCTGATGGTGGGGTAAGATCTTCCATTCTTTTAACCATCTGGCTAAAAAAATAAACTGGTCTCAGCCAGAACCACTAGAGTCTTAGGTGAAATCTAATAAGCAATATTAGGTAAAAGCAACACATGGTTAAACAATGTGCCACCTGTCTCAATGCTGTGCTGTGTTCCAAGGGCAGCTGGAAAAGGAATGCATTTTTCTCTCTTCCCCCTCGCCCCCATCCCTTTTCTTCCTGGAGCCATTCAAGAGTTTACAAGTTATTTGTCTGGCAAAAATAGCCAACTAAATAGGCAAGGAGAGATCATACTGCCAGCTCAGGAAGACCTCCCCTTCCACCTGCCTGTGATACTCTGCTCGAGCAGAGCGTCATGAATGTTCTGTCATCTAGGACAGCTGCTGCTCTGCGCCGGCCGGCCAACATGCCTGGTGCTGACTCCAACCAGCATGTCTGGTGCTGACATCAACAGTGTTTTCTCCCCTGCTCTGAACTTACTGTCCGACCCAAAGTAAGACTGCTTGTTCAGACTGATGCATGATGAAAATTAAGTTTTTCCCCATTCTTGGCATCTCTGCATGCAAGGCGGAGGTGACTGGCCATTCTAGCTTGGGCCATTTCAGCCATGACCCTCCTATCTTGAGAGTCCTTAAAGCAAAGGACCCTAGAGGACGACACTACTTCCTTCCAGACTGAGCAGGTATCACCTCTTGTCACAGATCACAGGCAATCACAACTACAATATAGCTGCGTAATGTTTAAACCTAGAGTTTAAACTGATTATCTCTCCCACCAAGCCTGCATTCTTTCCTTTTTTTTTTTTTTTTTTTTGAGGAGGAAAGAATATCCTATTGTCCTTGACTGAACATGTAGAATGCAGTTCTCTATTTGAAAGGAAACACTGTTGAGAGGGATATAATTTATGTTCTACCACCATGTGTTTCACATTTTCTGACAACTGTAGATTAAACTTCATTCAAAGGCGATAATTAAAATTTTTATGAGCATATCTAATATTAAACAGATACTGGTAGGCTGCAGTGCCTTGACTGCTTAATGCACAAGGGAGAAATGCAATAAAAATTAACTGTCAAAGCAGCAGCAGAAGCTTGATCTTCCCTGTCAGCTACCAAAACTACACCCTCAGACAGCACAAGGCTCTCCAATATAGAGGTTATTGAATATCTGCAGTGAAACACCTTCATACATTTAATCTGTTCAGTCATCACACAGAGCAAGAAAAGAATACAAGACTTTATTTTAAAGTTATATGTTATCAAAATTAAATAGCTAACCTATGGTGCTGCTTTGAGAAATAAACTGAACTGCTGAAAATGTAGCCAGAAGTGTAAACTGTCTACTTCTGGATAAGCGAGGTTTCTGACCAAGGTCTCAAACCGCCTTCAGGCAACCCAAGGAAGCACTCTGCTGAAAGCATACTCATTTTTTTTTTTTTTTTCACTTTTTGGCCAGCTGTATTTCAACCCAATTTCCTCATCCAGCTCACTACATGACAACCCATACTGTTATCTTTTCCAGTCACGACAGTCCATACTCCTGTCAACTTACAGCCATTGGGGAAGGCCGCAGCAGTCTGGATTAAACAATCTGTTGGAGTGAACAACACTTTGTGTAAAAAGAATGCAAACACTAGGTCTTGATCCCAAGAAATATTAGATGTGCATAACCTTATATAATGACACGATTAAAAATGCATACAGGAAATCTTAGCCACACAAGAACGCACTGTTCAAACAGAACAGAAATGTTATGTTTAAGTAGTTTAATACAAGCTGCTTAAATTCTGCAGTTAGAATATAACAGTAGTTACACTAAGTCTTTATGGAAATCCTTAAGATATGTTATGCACAGAACAATATCAGCCGTCATAAATTGAGAAATACCAGAACTAAGACGGTCTCTCTAAATTTAATTGTTCTCTACTCCGCAGAAATACTGCATTACTTGATAGGCATTTTTTTTTTTTTTAATAATCACTACAGCAATCCTTTGGAAGATGTGCAGCCAACTCACTTTACTTGCCCTCATTTGAAATCTTTTTAATGATAGCTGTTCCATGCTGCATTTGCTGCTTTTAATACAAACAACAAAATAGAAGCATGATAGATCAAGTATACTGAAAGGTAAGCCAATGTGTACTATACCTTCAGAAGAACTCTACTTTCACCAGTACGACAGAATGAGTAAGAAATCCAAACTAAAAGGGGGGTTCCAAAAGTACAAAGAATCAAACAGGACCCACTGCATTTCTATGAAGATGAAAATGATGGGGAAACCAGAGTTTTATAGCTCCTTCATATGCTATGGGGAAATTAAGCACTCTAGCTGAAAGTTTAAACCATTAAGTTTTAAAAAGCTTTCATCTTTGAGTAAAATCTGTCTTTTTTTAATTACATTTTGAAAGGAAGGGCAGCTGAAAGATATCCCAGGGAAGATATTAAGCCTTTGTTCAGGCGTACGCTGTATTTCACTACATCAGATTTGTCACATTGTAGGCAGAGGGCTTGCATTTAAATCCGGAAGGGCTAAAGACAGAGCCTCAAGGTTAAATAATGACTTCTGACACAAACTAAACTATCTTCCCTGTCCCTACTGACACATCTCCAGCGAGATCCCAGACATCAGGAATCGGATGGAAAAGGTAAAAGCAGCTTTGAAACACAGACAGACTGAGGTGACAGCAAGGCATATGACGGTCCTGAAGGGCCCAATCAGTTTGAGCATTTAAGCACCCAACACTGAAGAACAGTCAAACCAATGGCAGGTAGATCAGAGGCGCACCAGCTGCGCGTTAGTTTGGATGTCTTCGCTATGATGGGGCTCTTCTCAAATTCAACAGAAAAGCTCTGGGGGGGGAAAAATGAAGACACAGAAGGGAACCGCTCCTGGTGGTTCACTGGGCAGTGGGTATGTGAACTGGGCAGAGCCTGGATGCCACATTTAGCCATGGCCTCCTGGCAACTTTATCGTGCAGCAACACTTTCCGGAAACCTGGTTTCTGCTTTTTCCAGATCTACACAACTCAAGAGGTGATAATTCTTGCTAGCAATTTAAATCAGAGAGAGTCTTTCCAAACATCCCAGGGTAAAGGAGATAACCTCTAGTGTACCTGAACGACAGATAATTCATTTCCCAAAGAAAGCAGCAAGTTTTTTGCACTAGAGAATTTTGGAGGATTCTGGAGGCCTTAGAAACAACACAAAGACACATTCTTCTGTATAAAGACAGAGGCTTTCCCAGGTTAAGTTTCACAACATGGTTAAGTTTCAAACAATTTTCATTTTCTTCTACAAACCAACTTCATTAGCCGATTAGAATTCATTAAAGTGTTGATTATTCCGATGAAGTTTCCTACCCATAACCTGCTCCTACTACAACCCTGGTAACTCCACGGAAGGTTTATTACCACAGTCATAATGATTCGCACACATTCATAAAACATTGAGATCATTAAAATAACTGTGAATAGAGAGTCCTAACATCCAGATTAAGTGACCCCTGAAGATTTATGCGCTCATTTGCTTTTGTACGTACATGTTTTCATGAGCTTAAAGTACAAATTAGTTGAACAGAATTACAAGACAAGTTCCAATACAGGTGAAATTCCCTTCCGTCAGCATTCCTGAATTCCACATGGGAATACAAGAAAGAAATGTGATATCATAAATGCTTGCTCGGCAGTAAAACAGAGTCTCTTCACACATGTCAGAGATTAATGCTGTAAACATTTCTGACAGTATTGTGTATGGTCACTAGCTTAGAAAAGAAAATCCAATACAATATTCCTAACAGACAAAGACTGATTAATACAGACATAGTCAAAGTTTGAGTTTTGGTCTAGCTTCTTGAAGAGAATCTGAAAAAATAAGTGAACATGTTACAAATGTGTTCAAATTGATACTGTATATTTAGTCGTCATATAATTAATGTCTAATTCAGTGTAAAAAGTGGCACCTTGGTGAGCACCAAAAATATTAATGAGGTGACTATAATCACAAATGTGTATATCAAGTGATTTCTACCACTTTCACTCATTAACAATGTGTTTTAAAGTATTTTCAGTCACATACCGATTTTTATTATGAATTTTAGTATTAGGGATATAAGACAGACATTGCAATACCAAGCTTCATTTTCTGGTAGATTTAAACTAAGCAGAAATACAAGACTTCTCAAGTATCTCTTCAGAGACTGGATGATTTAACATGTCATAAAAAAAGGCATGCAAAGCAGGAGGGGGCTACAAAAAAAAAAAACCCTCAAGATTTACTACAGGCATTGCAGAGAAAACAAGCCTTCCTTTATTATGAAACCTCTCTCTACCTAATTTATTGAAGTTAGCAGCGCTACTGAATAAAGTCGCAAAAAAGGTCAGTTCTGTTGTATAGTTTTCAAAAAGCTTCTGCACTCACAAATATCATATCCTGTAAGGTCAAACAGAAACTTTATCAAATGGCCAAGGAATTATTTCCTAAATTATATTAACAGCGTTACTTGAGCTTACTTGCAAGGGTTAGGACATCAAATAAAATTTTAACAAAAGCCATGAGATACAGGAAGTTAGCTTAATTAAATAAGGAAGTCATCCAAATGGCAATTTTTAAGCAGCATGGTTATATAGAGACAGTAGAAACTAAGCAGCACTTCAGGATGTAAAGAGAGAGATTCTCTTCCTATGGCTGGAACTGCTCAAGATTTCTAATCTCACACCATTACCTGATTCTGTTAATTTTTACTACTTAACTGCAATGATGTGGAAGGGGCTTTTGATTGCATTGCTTCTCCAGCGCATTTTAGCTTATAAACTGTTTGCATTGGCCATTCAGAAGAAAACTAAAGTTGCTCATTTCCCATTTTATTCTTAAGGTTATTATAATATAAGGCTTGAATACAGAGCAGAAGTGCCATTTTAAGAAGAGAGAAGACTGCTGTCAGCATCCAGCAGCTGTTGCTACTGCGAGTAAAACAAACCTTGCTTAAAGCACCCAAGAATCTCACCAGAATAATTTTCTAACCAGGAAGCTGAAGCTACGACTCACAACTGTACTTAGATTAAAAGATAGTTTTTCTGTGCCTGCAACGCTGTTTAAATTCTCCTCTGAAATGACTCACCATTGTTCCAAAGGGTATAGCTCTTGAGGCATGATAATAGATGGCAATGAAGTTAATGAAGAAGGCAGTGCCACACACCATTGCGGGGATAAGGAAAGCCCCAATGAACATCTGCTTTATCCACCGCCTCCCTGTAAAGAAAGGGCAACTGATAAGATGAGCATTATTTTGTTCAAAAATTACCAGCAACACCTCCAGAATTCGAGTTTCATTTACTTCCCCCTCCCAAAGGGAAAAAATGAGTAAGAACGTACTCCAGGCATACAAGAGTCACTTAAGTTTTATCTGGCTCCTGCAAAGTCACAGGATGCAGGACACTAAGCAATTTATTCTGCCAGAGAAGATGGAAAGGGGATATAGCGTGAACAGGTTCTGGTCCAAGCCACACTATATGCTGTGTAGCTGGTGAGAGAAACACAGTACAAAACACAAGCAGGTATCGGGCTGTGTGTTCGCACAGACGGAGCTCAGCTCGAGTGAGCTCAGCACAGAGCCCCCTCACAGCGCACGGCAGCTCCGTGCTGCCCCTGGGCCAGCTCTGCGCTCCGGCTGCCTTCAAGCAGCGCCAGCTCCCGCTTACCACGGCCAAAAACTGAGCTCCGTGCTGTCTGCAAGCTTTAAGAAAATGCCTACGTGCGGTATAAAGCACATTCTCACAGAACACAACAAAAAGGAAGAAGGAAAAAGATGTCTAAACCCAGGCTGTAAGGGGAACAGCAACACTTGTTAGCAGTTACTATTACATCTAGTGCTCCCTAAGGAGCTCCAAAAACCCCAAATCAAAACAAGCAAAACCAACCCAAAACTTCTTAGGCAATATTTTAAGTACTGCACTATCTGCATTGTCCTGGCTTTCTAAGCTCTTAAATACTCTATTTATATAAATATAATGTAGATATAACTATAGTTTGACCTAACTAGAAAACAACCAGGAAATGTAGCATGTTTTCCCAAAACTATCATACATGTATTTTCCATCATGAGCCACCTAAGCAGCAATTCATGGCTTACTGAATATTTGATATGGAGATGAATTGCAAAATTGGTTTAACTATTTAGCAAAGGGCAATGAAGCAGTACAACAGTTTTAGATCAGTAACTCCAAATTACCTGTATCTGTATTTCTACATATCACTTCAAATGGTTGATATGCAAGCCACAAAAAGAGGCTCTGCCAAACTCTGCCAAGGCAACTGAATACCAATCAATGTTCATTGCTAAAAAGATATAAATTTTCTTTTGCAAGCTCACCCAAACTAGCTTTCTTAAAGCACTCTGAAGATGACAGATATCAATTACTCCCATATTGTAGCACAGGGGATGGGTGAAGCTTGTGGAGCGGCAAGGATGTAACTGCTAGTGACTCAAGATGCTGCAGTGAGCACTTGCAGACAGCCTGTCCAAATACATCATGCCCCATTTACCAGGGCTCTCTACTGATGCTCATTTTTAATTTTAAGTACAAAGCAGAGTGCACAATGAACAGGAGAATAAACTTCTTTGAAAAAGATTGTATGACCAGTTTTCTTCATCGACCACGATTAGTGGCCTAAGAGGTACTGCAGACCCTTTCTTTTAGTGTTGGTAGATATAATCCCCACAACCCCTATGGAGGAAGACTATTTGGGAATCATGTGTCATGAACAGTTTACACAGCCTGAACAGTTCAACAGCATATTCTGCAAAACAGAGAGAGTCTGTTAGACCCTCTGGATGTCATCAGATACACATAGCTACATGCAGGAGTATAACATGCAATCCCTAAAGGATACAACTGTTAATAGCTCTTTAGGTCTTACTGTTTTTAAACTAACCAAACACTTCAGCTATTTTCAGTAGAAAAATGTAGACGATATTGAAAAGGAAATAACATGACAGTTAAATATACTCAAAATATTATATGTTCATTAAGAATTTAATGGATTCCATCTGGATACCCTAGCTCCACAAGGACACTTCTACAGTACTGCAGATGAGAAAACAGTAACTTTTCCCCTTAACAATATAATTAAAACGCTGAAACATGAAAACAATTTACCTCCTTGTCTAGCGTAAAGGCTTCCTCCAAAATATCCATTCACTGGGGATGTTGCAGCATAAACAAATATAGCTGTACTAAGCATTGATCCTCTCCTACAAAAAGCAATTTTTTGTAAATGAAACAGTAAAGAAAATAGAATAAAAACAAAATATTACAATAAAATGAGCAAAGTTACCAATAGTTATTAAATAACTCTAACCATGTAAATATTAAAGAGAAACTGCTCCTTTAAATTTTAAAGTTGGAATAGAAACAGTGCTCATTCTTATGCACAGTCTAATTCAAACTGGAGGAAAAAAAAACAGAGCTCTGAGGTACCACATTCTTTCCTAATGTGCATTCAGCAGAGTTAAGTACGAGATATCACCTTTGACCAAAACATTCTGCCATTTGCACATGTATACCTTGTGCAAGAACTGAACTATTGAACAGACACTGTTTAGCATAAGACTCAACTACTGCCGATAAAAGGTACTCTTAGTTAAACACAGAGGGACAATATTAACCAAAATACACTAAGATTGTGAGTGATATTTCTGCCCTCTCTTAGAGATTAAATTTAAAGATGAAAGTGTTCCTTAGAGAATCTGATTTAGATACTGTAATTGCTATAATGAAGATAAAAATCAGGGTGGAAGAGTCAAATTACACCAGTTTGTTCATTTTTAAATTATCATCTCATTTAATGAGGAAGTACTTATCTTGAAGTATTTTCTTAAAATTTGTAGGCAAAGCTAAAAACTTTAAATCATAAAAGCCACCTTGAAATACATTTTTAAACCATCTTTTAAAATAGCAAGATATAGATGCTTGCCCTTCAATACAATTGAGTCTTCTGTAGCTCTAAGCAGTATAAGGATTTCTGGCAGTTTGCTGAACTCTCTCAGCAAATCATTTGCTCTGAATTATTCTGGACTGCTGGTATTTTGGCTTTTGATGGACAAACACTGAATGCCTTTGGAACAACTGGCTTCCACTACCGAAAGGCCTGAATTAAGCAAAAATGCCTGCTTGTCACGCACACTAACGTATCAGGATGCTAACGTTTTATTCAAAATAAGCAATGTTTCAATTTTAGAAAGTCACTTAGAAACCAAACTTATAGCTCTCCATTTGAGCCAATTTATAAAAGCAAGCACATATGAAATAAAATCTACAAGACTACCTGGAGTCTGAAGTGATACCAGTTATTTGCATCACAACCAACAGATGCTAATTTGAGATGATCTTAAGATGTCTTATTCTCAAGCTTGCTCATTTATGTTTCAAATGTTCTAATGGAAAGTGTTTTCAAGACATAGCCCCACATGAATAAATTAACAGCTGCCATGATCAGATGTCACTGGGAGAGTTTTACTTGTTGTAGGCTCTGTGATCATTCCGAGTTTTACAGGACTGAACAACACTGAGAGCTAATGACTGACAATTCTGCCGTACGACCCTCTTCACTCATCTGCATTCCTCAGCATAAGAATTTTATGTATTGGGTTTGGTCAGCTGTTCAGTCACGTATCCAGAATTAAACTCATTTTGAGAGGAATATAAAGTCCAGTTGCAATAAAGGCCATAGGACACATTTTAAAAGCCCTGTTGTGACAGCATTTACAACTGCTGCTGTTAACCAACAGCTGAAATAGTTTCAGGCCGTACCTTAAAGACCTGACATGCCGTCCACTTAAAAAAATGCCTGTAACTCTCTCCAGAAACGCAAACACTGGAGGGAGGGAGGAGGGAAACAACACTGTATGACAAGGGAAAATATACCACGATACAGGTACTGCTGAGAGGATTTTTAGAAGCCACTGCATTACAAGGCTTAAATTCAAAAGCAAGAGTTCTCTCTAGTGGCATGCCACGAGTATTGCAACCTGCTAAAACCACAGAATTGGGGGATTATACACAGGGAAGTGACAACAGACACAGACGGGGTATTTTAGTCAGTGCTTAGAACTAAGCACCTGTGAAATTGTCACGGTCTCCAAAACATGAAGTTCATCACTCCTCCGTAACACCAAAGTCCCAAAAGCAAACAGGTAAAAGGTAAGAAATAGAGCGGGCTGAGCCAAGAGTGGTGGGTGCATTTAAACTAGAACACCGTTTCATTTAAATTCATTCTCTCCAGACAGGGCTACAGCTCAGCTACTGCTGTAGGTTTGCCCCTGCTTGGGGCAAAGTCCCTAAAGTCCCCAATCCTGAGAAGACGTGTAGATAAACTTAAATCACTGCAAGCAGTAAATATGACTATCCATAGCACACTAAACTTGCACTGCGGTCTTTACAGGATGGGGCGGGGGGCAGGGAAAAGGCCAGAAACAGTAAAATCTTGACACTCCATATGAAATTAGGAGTGAAATTCATGCTTTTTGATGCTTAATCCACCAGCAATACTGCACCTAAAAAGCACAATTTCTTAATACATCATGTAAAAATGAAAGAATAAAAAAAAATGCAAGTTACATAGTAATAGTAGGACAAAAATTCAATACAATTTAGAAAAAAAGAAAACTTTTGAATACTGCTTGTGATTATAGACTCTGGAACGCAACTTTTCAGACCACAGTTAGAACATTCAGTTTTGTAATGATTTAGTTCATTTAATATTCGTACGTGGAAGACATGACACACTTACTCTGTGTATAAATCCTCTATCATCGCAACAACAATGACTATGAGAGACACAGCAAAAATTTGACAACCAGAACCAATAAGCGATGAAAATATTAAAGGATGACTGGATGGTCTAAAAACATCTCCATGGACCTGCTTCCACCCGTACTCATCACCTAGATCTCTGTCCTAGGAACAACAACAAAAAAAACTGTTTTAGGTCTAGTCACAACAATTCATGACAAATATACACACTAGGTATAAATTAAAGATTTGATTTAGTAAAGTAACTTCAAGGGTAAGCATGTCTTCAAATGGAGCCATCTAGGAGAAAAATATGCTTTCCAGATGCTTCTAAGAGTAAAAAATGCTACTTGAATGCATGATAGCACAATCTAGCAGAATCTCTTCCTATCCCTAAGGTCCTCTGAAGCATTTTAGGAAATTGTGCTTGCAAAGACTTCTGCTGCACACTGAGCAGAAGGGATTTCATTTAACTGAAGTGCATCAACCATCAGTGCAGCCACCACAGACAGTTCCTGGTTGCTACGTAGGAGCAAGAGACTCCTAAAAGACAACAGGCGACACAGATTTTATGTACCAGTTCAGCCCATAGTAGTCAGCTGTTCAACACCAACAGGAAGTTATACTTTTGGATTCTCATATGTGAAAAAAATCCAGTACCATTTTCAATGCAAACATACGGCAGTTTTCTGTCCAAATGAAGAATGCAATTCGGAGATTCTAACGTTACAAACATACAAAAACAAGACTTATAAAAATCAACACATGAATAGAAAACTTACCATATCATCCATTTCTTCCTCTTTACTGTATCTTGCATAATCTTTTCGCAAAGTTCTCATTAATATCATAGACACTAGGCCAACCAGAAAGATCACCATCATGAAAGAATTGAAAATTGAAAACCAGTGAATCTACAAAGAGAAAATACTCAAGTTTCAGAACTGTAACTATTTCCAATGAGCTTCAACGTGGATATATTATTACTCAGCACAAGCTATTTCACTAAATAACAACAATTTTATTTTGTAAATAATAGTACATTTATAGAAAATCCCACTAAAAAAGGCCATATGTATGCTGTCAATAGTCAGATTTGCTCAAGACTAAGTTAGTCAAGCACGAGCAGAATTCAAACACGTTCCCTTAACCAAGGGCAAAGGAAAAGCAACAAGATGAAGGGCTGCCTTCCTAAAGAGAGTTTCAGCTAGCAAGATATGCTCACAGTCAAAAACCAAAGGAGTTTTTGGGAGCCATTGCTTTGTATAAGATCAAAACGTTTGCTCTGATAAGCACATCCTCTGGTTTTCACTGAATTTCAAACAGCATTCCTTAGCCCTAATTTGAGAAAGAAATACAGCCCAGTATACCATCCTTAGGGAGATTATAACTGCAGGTATAAACCATGACAAGTGTTATCACAGACCAGCTTAGGCTTTTTGCTTTGCAGTTACTTAGGGGAAAAGTACACATATTGCCAGTTACAGTTCACTAATAAGCAATTGTGCTCCTGAAACTCCATTGCTTCTGAGCATATAAATGTATCTACTTGAATTACCTTGCATTTGCTGCGGGCTTGAGGCATGCACACAGACATTTACTGAAGTACACTAAAAAAGAAGAGAGTCATCCTATTTGAGCAACAGAAGTGTTGCTTACACCTAGAGTGCTGCAGCTGTCTGCCTCATTGCTCCAGAACTGCCCACTGCTAGGACAGCAATAGCAGTGGGCTGCATGTTGCACCAGGCTAACTAGAGCCACATTTCAAAAACTGAGTGGAGAGGAACTTTTCTTTACTACTTGCTTGAATGAGATGAAAACCTCACTGATTTCCAGACCAGACCAAAAATGTAAGGTATAATAAACAAGAGATGATTAACCAGAAGAATCACTACTTTTCCAATGTCCCTTCACTGTCTTCATCCCATCTCAACCGCGATGCAGACCACGCACATTAACTCCTGCTGCAGGCCTCAATTCTGAGCAGAAATTCTCCACACTGTTCACTGGACTGCAACTGATGTACTGCAGAGCTACTTCAATTAAGTTAATTTTTAATTCTCAAGGGGTTTACAATCCAACAGTTTTGAGCTGCAGGAGTCCAGCGTGCTTTAGCTTTTTGCGGCTTCACTTTACATTTATTTGGGTGCAATTGGTCAAGCTTATACTTCAAAGAAAGGAGGAAAAAAAAAAAAAAAACACACACACCAAAAACCCCTACGGTTTTTCAATCCTGACCATGCCAGGTGAACGTCATTTCAGAAGTTCATATAAAAGGGAAAAGGGGCAGAAGACTGCTGACCAGAGCAGTTAACAGATCAGATTCAAAGACCTCCCCACTTAAATATCCCTACCTGATACCGCATACCACCTTTTGGCCTGATAGTCAAAACAGCAGAGTGATGGGGGACTTCAGTAATTCTAACAACGCAGCAAAAGATATTACCTTTTACAATAAAAAAGGTTTACAACATTTTAAAATCCATATAAAAAAAATACCACCAAGGAATTGAAGAGACAAGTGAAAAGCCCAGAGATAAATGAGGCGTCAATTATATTCAAATACCCCTACCCCTTTCTTTTCAGAAGAAAATTAACAGAAACAGGCTAAAGAAAAAGCTGAACTAAAACACCCATTTCAATGAGACATTTTGTAAAGTTGTCTTAGAACATTACATACTCTATGTTGAAAGAATGATGGGTCAAGGTACTTGTCAAATCGGTCTTCAAACTTCACATCTGACTTTTTCCATTTCACCTGAAGAGAAGAAGGTTACACTTGAAATTCGGTCGTTACACATACTGAGCTATACTCGCACACGGACGCACAAAACACTTTTCCTATCATCCACTTCAGATTTCTTTTCAAATGTAACACAGAGCCTATCAAAATTAAGAGACTGATTCTCTTAAAACCTGCATCTATAGATGTGACAGAATGAACATCGGCCACTTTGCCTCATAGGTCCAATATTCTTTGTAAGTGTTCAGGAATAAGGAGGGGAAAGTCTTACACTCCTCTCTTGTCAATGTCTCTACTAGATTAAACAAAGATGCAGATGTCCAGTGTCAAATAGAACACACTCATTTCACGATTACTGAAGGGGCCGACACTCTTACTGAAGGGGTGAAATAATATCTCCAGCAAATAACCTGTTTTCATTTCTTTCAACCTAAAAGTTCATGCAGGATGCTTTTCACATCAGATGCTTACGCAGTGATGACTTTCCTTGAATCACCATTTCTAAGAATGTATTTGGAAAACAAACGGGTTCCTCCCATCAAAAAAAACTAAAAGCACAAGCATATAAAACTTCTAATGACATAGACAACTTAATGTATATAGTGCAGTTTTGCAGAAGCCCTTTGGCAAATCCAAGCTAATTTGTCCAAGATTTCATAATATGTGATAGGGAAATAAATTTCTAGATATGTTTAAGAAAGATGTGCTAGACAGCAGTGGAATTTTTCCAAGCATTTTGTTGGCAGTAAGTACCCTTCTTTTCTCACCATTTCCACCTGCTAACATATTATCAGTGTTTCTCAGACTAAGTATAACTACTTCTACTGCTGCAGCTGAGGTCTAGTTTGCTGCCATGCAGTAACACCTGTACTCACGTTATCTGAGTACGGTGCTCAAGAAAAAGAAAAGGAAGCAGCCCAGCAGAAGTGAAGGAAATGGAAGAAAATGGGCAGATTTAAAATAAACACTACAGGAAAGAGAAGAGCATAAACTCAGTTGGCTGGAGGGGAACTGCATAAAAAGGGACAGCCTGAACCCTAAAAGACAGATATTAAAAATTTAAAAGCTACAAACTAGAAGCTGTAACCTGAAAACTGTGAGACCTTGATATTTTTCAATCTGTACACTTTCACTGCCAATAAGTTTGCCGGAAAAGTTTGTTTCCATATAATCAGCTTATTACTGCTCTTGGTTACTCCACTAGCTCCACACAGAACAGCTTTGGACTTGAAAGTCGTAACAGCATGGACGAATGCGATGATGCAAATGTTGTAGCACAAACTTCAGAACTTTTGCAAGTTATTTTACTTGAATTTTTAAATGAAAGAGATACATTTCTAATGTATTTTAGAGCATATGTCACTAAGCAGCACTGCTTAGAACAAATTCATCAGAGACAATCTGAATTAAACACCTCATGCCTGCAGCCAGCCCAGTGGTGCCAACAGAGATAGAAAGTAAAATCTTGAGCACCATATGTCAAAGACACTTAACTTCTTACAGATACTCAGTGCTGTCCACCTCAAAATACACAGAGCAAATGGACTCCACAATACTAGCTGAATTCGAAACAGAAAACCAAGTATCACTATCATTTTTGCAGTAGAAATAGAGAGCATGGCATAAACATAGAAAGCACAAATGAAAACATTACCCGCACTTGGAACCTTATGACTTACTCAGCATAAGGCAGACAACACTGACAAGAAAATGAGATCTTAGGCTGATGCCTACTCCTAACTGACTGTAGAAAAATCAATGGTTTAAGAACCAGGGTGAGAATACAAGTCCTGTAAACATACGAGAGGTGATCTTATACAAAAGACGGTAACAGAAAAAAAAGGCAAATTAATAATAGTAATCCAACATCCCATATTAACAAATACGATTAATCATTACATTTTAACATAGCAATTCAACACAAAAGCAGAAGACTTCAGAGAAAATCTTGCAAGTAAAGCTATATAAATAAGACAAATTTCTACTGGAATTGCAAAACCAAAACAAATAATAAAAGTAATAGATTGTAAATTACAAAGGCTTAAAGTGGATTTTACTCCTTATTCTAGTTTAATTCAAGAAGGGAGTGGGACAAGTCCTATGTTATCTACGACATAAACATCACTGCTCCAAAGACTGAGAAAACATCTAGTTACTGAGGAGGCCTCGACACTTCTGGCCTCCATACTTTTTCATGGATCTTCCCTTCCTAACTATACCCTTTCCTGCAGATTGTAGAAGCTTGAATTTTTTTTAAAAAAAAAAACAAAACAAACAAAAAAACCCCCCACCCTCTATCACTTTATGTTTACCCCTAACAAACCTAACAACCCAGCAACAAAAAATATTTGATGGAGCAAGGAGGCATCTTCCCCTAATACACTCTGACACAGTAACACATAGATGATATGTGTAACTTCAGCTATCTAGCTAAAGTTTAGCAACGTGGAGCTGCTTATTACACCACATACATCACCAAATTACTTACCGAATATGACATCTGGATTTTTGTATTTGGTACCAATTTCACCTTTCCTTCACTGGTCAGATTCACATCCACGATTCTGTTTCCATTGTAACCAATTTCAAGTTTTTTGTAAGTCCAAAGATAATAATCTTCCCCATTTTCATCTGCTTCTCCAACAATACCTGTATAGGAATTAAATTAAAATATAAACCTGAGCTGCAGGCATTTTTTTCCAAATATTCTGTGATTATTTTTTTAAAATATGTTTATTTACAACCTCTTTAGCAACTAAAAAAGCAGCATAACTATAGTAAGAGAAATCATTTTTACTATAGTAAAATCGAGTAAAAGAGGTTTCTAAAAGAAACTTTGTTTCTTAAAAAAATAAAAAAGGATGTAGCCACTAATGCTTTAAAAGAAGTAGAAGTAATCACATTTTGTCTAATCTTATATAAGTTTCATATATGACAACCAACTATACAAATACACACTTAAATTCTAGGAACGCTTTGCCCTGACCTCCATATTTTTCCATATCCTTGTTCCAGCTATTATCCCTTCACTCATCTTTCTTCCTCTTCAAACCTCTTTACTTTCTTCCTGTATTCCACAGAAGTGGATTCCTCAAGGCCACACTTTTTGCTCTTACTTGCTCATGTGTTTATGAAGCTTGACAAGAATCATAGTTCAAGTACTCTCTGAATTTCTTTTACTAAAAAATTTCAGAAAAATATTATGTACACAGAAATGCTGGCTACATCCATGATGGGAAACTACTTGGATGCTCCTGGAGCATCAGAGTTCGGTTAACTGAACTCAGAATTAGCTCACGATCAAGTTCTTACCTTTTAATAATTTACTGCAAAACATTTAAGCTACAGAAAAAATCCAGATATCATACTATGGTGGGGGCCAGGGAAGAAAGCCAAGGGTAGCAAACGGTTCACAGGCCAAAACCAGAAACTTTTGTTGTACTAAGACCACACAGAGATGGACAAGAGCATGCAAAGATCAAGGATACAGAAAAAGTTACCACAAAGGAATAGATATGGGAAGGAATGACACTTGAGCATTATCTGGGCTTTTTACTTTTCAAGGAGGTAGTTTCTGTGATGTTTTTTACTCATCAGAATTGCCTTATGCACTTCTCCATGCAGGAGAGGAACTTGCCAGTTCGTGGCTCTGCCGTGCGGCCTAGCACCTGCTCTACCATCTGCTCCCACCGCGCTACCCAAACCACGGCTGCCTAAAGGGCATCTGATCAATGACTACCAGAAAGACTGAATTAAAGCCATGTTCCATGTACCTAAGGAGACGTGCTAAATTCAAGGACAGTTAAGCCTAGACACTTCACCGTTAACTAGAAATTCTGGAGAGAGGAAAAAAAAAAAAAAAAGGGAGAAAAGAAAATGGAATCATTTTACATGAATGCACCTAAACAGATTTGCAGATTTGCTGACCACCTTGAGCTCAGATAATAAAGCAGCCCTTCCAACACCAGTTTGAAGTCACTACCTTTACTTACTAACAGTCAAGAAAAGGTATCCTGTCTGGACATTACTAAAAGTCGAGCACTCATTTCTGGATACTTTGAGGAATTCCTGAGGAAAGTTTCAAATATTAATTGTCGCAAAGTGCAATCCATTATAGATACGGATTACAGAAGGCCAGTAAAATGGAGTGACAAAAGCCACAGAAAGGTACTGTAATAAGAACATTTTTGATTCAAAATACAAACATTTCTTTGACCAGATTAATAATATTCAGCAAGAGCATATTTCTAAAGTAATTTTAAAAATTGTATAGGAATAAGTAAAATAAAGCTACTGGATAAAATGACAGACTATATTCGAAGGCAAAAATGTTAAAAGTCATCGAGTTACCACAAAAGTAAACCAGAAGCCTTTGTGGTATTAATAAACCCAAAAACTAGCATTATGAAGCTCGAACAGTTAAAGAGGCTTACTAAGATTTTAGTCCTGAATATTTCAACAGACCTTGTATCTGACCTCCTATACCTAATTATCACTTACTTGAACATTCAGGAGAATAATTTAACCCTAAGAACTTGGTATTATTAAAATAAATGCTTGAGAAACAAAAAAAAGGTTTTCTCTGTTTTTACAATTCAGTAATACAAGTCACACAGCTGTTCCTTCAACTCAGTAACCCTTACATTATTTCTATTATTTGTTTACAGAAGTTCCACACACACACTTGTAAGATTCTTCTAAGGAAGTGGAGTCATTAGATGAAGCGAATCTAGGAAATGACAAGCTCAGACACTCCTGTGATCTGTGATCAGTCGAGCTGCTAACGCGCAGCACCACTCACCCCATATCGGCAAGTCATCAATGTACATCTGGTACCAGTAGTGATTTTTGATAGCGTACACGAACGCGTCCCTTCTTCCTTTGTCCAAGTCTATTTCACAGTAGGTGGTCTGCATCACGTCCTCTGCAAGAAATTAAAGCACTGTTAATGATTTATTAATGAGCTGCCTCTAAATGAAAACAAACTAAGAGGGAGCACACATTTCTGGAATCTTTAACCCCTCCTGGATCTGTATGTGAGAGTAGGTAAAGAAAAAGGCACTTTAAAAAGGAACCACTCCAGCAACTTCTTGTTCCTGCAGTTCTGCCCTCTAGCATGCAGAATGTAGAAAGGCCATTTATTACAGGGACTTGAGAAGCAGGGCTGCAAAGGATCCTTTCATAGCTTCCCATGGACAGGAACCGAAGATCCATTTGCCGTTCCTGGACAGCCTAGGTGAGAACCCATTTGAAGTCTGTGACAAGTTAATACTAGCAGGTGTTTGTGAAGCCCCCCCAGTCTTGGAAGCATTTACAGCCTATGAGAATTCTTACACTGAAGCAAGGTATGAAATTACTAGGAAAATATATAAACTCCCAGGTTCATTTGCTGTCCCTGTTGTTACCAGGATACTAGTCTCCATTAAAAACAAAACCAACCAAAAACAAAACAAAACAAAACAAAACCACAACAACAAACCACCCCTTCACTTTAAGTTCCACACAGTGTTCCAGAAACAAGCATAAAGGTGGAAATAAAGCATACAGAACCAAGACAACAAAAGCAGGAACAATGCAAAGGCAGCATCTGAAAACGAAATAAATCCATCTCTTCAAGTCAGATGGATATTTTTCCCCCATTAAGTAACGTAGTTAACAGACATGTACTCCAACTTTATTTCTTTCTGTTTCCTCTTCAAGTGAAACAAAAGGATGCATATTTTTAAAAAAATATAAAGAGCACCAATAGCTTTAATTTTTTTTAAAAAAATCCACTTATTGAGTGAATGTTTTCAGTCTGCAAATAAAGCAAACAAAAAAACCCACCTTCTCCTTCCCTACTCCTATTCACCATCACTGAGACCTGTAACTCGTTTCTAGTAGACGGCATTAATTTGCACTCCACAGACAGCTCCAGTTTGTGTCCAAACTTAGCTTACTTGAACTCTTCTACACATTACTACAATTCTACATCTTGAAAAAGAAAATGAAATTGCTCACACATAAAAAGCACAAATAAGTAGAATACTTCCAACACAAACATTCTTTCTGATAGCATCTATTTCTCAACATGAAAAAATGGCCATGATTACTGGGTACGCAAAACTAAAATAGGGCCCAATGAAGCAAGACAGTAGGAAACCCACTGAAAGGAGCCCAGCATAGCTGAGCCGACCTCCTCCAGCCCTCAAATGGGAGCATTGCTCATGTGCTACAAAAAGCTTCAATTTATTCTCTTGTCTCTCTCTCTCTCTTTTTTTTTTTCCTCCTTCTCTCTCTCTCTCAGCACCACAAACTGCATTTACAAGATCCATACTGGCCCAACAAAAAGGTGAAAGGCAACAAAGTTGGCACCACCATTGAAACCCAGGCCCCAGAGCTACACCCATTCACGCCTGCGCTGATCTGCATCCGATGTGTTTTGGGGTACGCTCACAAAAAATGTCTCTTCTTTCTCACCTTAACAGACTTGAATTTTCTCGGCATTAATTAAAAATAAATAGGAAAAAAGAAAAAGGAGAGTGGAAACCAAATGAAGCCTCTGCCTTCTGGTGGTGTCTTGGGACCCAAATACACACACACAATACTTGGGTCCCAAATACTTGGTACTCCATTACTAGTCTTTCCCAGTTCACGCCAGACTCCAATAACAAGCACTGCCTTTGGAGCATTAAGATGTTTACTCACAAAGGATGCTTCAACAGAGAGGTCAAACTAAATACATGTATCACAAACTAAACAGTAATAAAAGTACTTGAGAACCCCGTAGAAACTGTTAAATGAAGCATTACATTCTGGCCCAGCAGACAAGTCTGGTCTGGAGGCAACGATAGGGGCGGCCTGGCTATTTTTAACTGGATCCTTCCCCTGACTTATCCATCCCACAGGTACACAAAGCAGTACAAGTACAAGTGAGGGACAACACAGGAATAGCAGCAAGTGCCACTACCAAAAGAAAAAAAAAAAAAAAAATCACACAAAGGGTCTATTTAGAGACCCTTTTACTCAGAGTACAGCAGTGTTTGTATTTACTATCTAAAATAAATTTGGCATTAGATTACAACTGTATTTCAAGTACCTCCATGGGTTTCAAGCCACTTGGAATCTTTTTCCTAACTGAAACGAGTCAATCTGCATCTAACACTGCAGATGTGAGCACTGGCTCTTGCTGCTGTGCAGAAGAGATTCAGAAAAACTATTTGAAGGGGAAGGGCTGTCATCACATCTGACTCAGGCTGCAGATTGCTGCAGGCCACCACAAGCTGTCTTTGCCCATTTGTATGGATTTTACTTTTGATATTCAGAACATCACAAGATCTCACAGCAGTACCATAATCAGCTGAGCATAAGTTACTCAAGTGCATACACCCAAAAAGTCAGTAAACTCATACAAATCTTGCAAACCAACAGCAAGATTTCTCTTAATTTACAAGACTTCACCCTCAGCCATTCTACACCATGAACAGCTCAGTCAGGAGCCCAGGCAAGGGGAACAGAAAGAAGTTCTCCTTCCTTCCTTCAGCCACCAACAGCAAAGCCATGGGTTAGCTACAGGGCAGAAATTCTCATTAGCTGGTTACACTCATGTCCATTGCGTTAAATGATTAAGGGGAAGTAGCTTAGAACAGCAGTCAGTGGCTGGGGACGCCTAAGGCTGTACTTTGTTACTGTGGTATTGCTACATCTAAGGTTTTGCATGTTTTAGCTATGACCGTAACCTGGATGAACTGGCAGCATCTGCTAACGCAGCCTTGGGAACACCAGTAGCACATTCAGAAAGTTTTAAAATAGCACAAACATGAGACTCATTACAAAAGGGGGCACAATTATGCCAGATTTCAAGCTTCCTTGAAATGGTTAGATTACCTTGATTTTTCTTAGATATACAAACCACATCCTTCATTATGGTATCTGCCCATCTCTTAGTACGACATGTAGCATCAATCTAAACAGCTGTCTTATTTTCTAGAAACACTGCAGAAAAGTCCTAAGCAAGGAGTTTCCTTTTCAAACTCAAATTTCCTCTAATTGGTATTGTACTAAGGGTAATGCCAAAAATTCATTCTCTCAGTGAAGATAACAATGTTCAATGTATTTAATATTCCCCTGGGACTTAGGTGTAACGCTTACCTAAGATGTCAATGCAAATGTTTCAATAAAGAATGTGACGTATTACATGAAAAGCATCATTATTCTAGATTTAGACTGTCAAGAGAATTAAACTAAATGAAGACCTAAAGTTATCAAGAGTATAGTAGTAATTCCCTACTTTCTTTTAAAGATTTTTTCAGGTTTGAGACCTGTGACAACAGCACTGTCCATACTCAGAACAAATAGGAAATGAAGCTATCCTACATGGTCACAGATATCCTTTCATGAAACATGCTTTTAAACCTCAGCCAGAAACACTACTTCATGGGTTCATTAATATACTGTAGATGTGTCCCAGCAGTCGCCACAGCAAGCATCAAGCACAGGCCTCCATTATTGGCAATATGAATTTCCACAAAGCCCTAATTTTGTAGGTTATGACTATTTCACGACCTACAGGCACACAGGCAAGCTCCACTGATTAAACTCCCAGAAGATATATATTTTTATAATTGCAGAAGCTATAAATGTATATATTTACAAATTTATATAAAATTCCTGAACTAAATCTCTGTTTGTCCATGACTACAGTATTTTTGGAAGGATAAATAGAGTCAGGCTAACAATTTCTATGAACTTCTGTAAGCTGCATCTACTTCCCCTATCCTTACTACAAAGGATAAAACACAGACACAAACTCAGTTTGACAAAATCTTAACACACCAATTTTTAAGAAAAATATCTAATGCCACTGGAAACCAGCTAACAACAATGAAATTATCATCTCCATCTTTTACCATCAGGACACAGATTGGAAGGGATAAATTAGGAATGCACATAGACAGCTTCCCAGTTCAGGAGCACATATTTAGTCATCAACCAGATACTATGCACCATCTTTCTAGAAGGTATCAGACCTGCATCGGCTTCCATTAAAAATTAATTAACTGATGGTCCAGTACAACAGTCTATATCAAGAAGTCCCAATATCTTAATTAAAAAAAAAGAACAAATGAATATTATAAGATGTATGTGCTTGGTTCACAAACCTATCGGGTTCACTATCCCTACCCATATGAAAGCCAAAACTACTAAACATGGGTTATTTATTTTAGTTGGGATCTCAAACATCTCCTCTAGGTGATGTACTCTAGTCCTTCTAGATCTCTCACCAAAAACTGATTATAGATATGCCATCCTGTAATTAGTCCTCATGTAAATTCAAGAATATTACTTAAATCTGACCCAGCACAGACTAAGATAGATGTGGCTTCACCTCCAGAAATACACAGGAAAAAAATACAGCTAATGCTCCTCTAGGAAGCAACAGCAATAAGTAATTCTTTAAAGTCTATTATTCTCTTTTCTGGTACGGCAAAAGAAGTCAAATGCCTTCCTGGTGCTCACAGGACAGCACATTCCCTTTGCGTGGAGCCACAGGTTTCCTATGCAGAAACATGGCAATTAAATCTAAACTAAAAGACATCTATAGGAGGCTGCATATGTTCTTTTGCAGTCACATATAATTGGCTGTACATGGAATAAGATATTTATCCTAGTCTGATAATAGAAGTTTTGCTTAGTCTTTACAGTTACAATGAACTTCTGCTACTTGACTTCTCCTTTCTCTCCACTTTGTTTCTAAGCATATTCTATGAGGCTGGCTGGAAATTATTTCCCTCAAGGTCAACGATATTTTCAAGACAATACAAGTCTGGCAAATTGGCGATAGGATTGTTTCCCAGTTTTAGTGCCAATATAGTTTGCTTCTTAAAGGAAAGAGATGTCTCCAAATTTGTTTTAAAACAAACATGCTAGCATTGATGCAGCTTCAAGATTATGAAGAATTTATGGTTTTAAACACATGTTTCTGCTTATAACAAAAGCATAACCAAGTCTCTTATTTCAGAGATCCAATTTTGGATAGATTTTTATAACTTACAGAAACTAAGTCCCATCTGAAAGCAAATGCTTGAAAAAGTGATATTATTTTTAAACACATAAGTAATGGTGATGTAATAAAGCATGTCCTTCAAACAGAAAAAAATACTTACTATATAGACACTAAATTGGGTAAGTAAATGAACAAATACTAAATTCAATATAGACAAAAAGTTCTGTTTTTTGAAGGCCTGTAACTACCAGTTACAGGCAGCTAGACTCTGGGTATTGATGAATAAACTCCAGATAAATTCTGCAGTAGTCTCGTCCTCTTACACCAAGGAATGTATTTACAAAAGCAGTTAAACATCATCTCTGAAACAATGTAGAGATACAGAAGTGGTAGAGAGCAAGAGTACAAACAGACCAGGCCCTTCCTGAGTGGCATAGGATGAGCAAGAAGCACTTTTTAGACCAGAGTGAGAAACAATAGTAGTACTCAATACCCTTCACATGCATTGATATCCTCCTCTAAGATATGCAAGACAAGAGAGTTTTCCAGTAACAAACACCGTCTCAAGGCACTGCTTTGAGATGTTGAGCACTTGCTACACGGGATCTGCAAATATTCAACATGATGGAAAAAAAATGACATCTTCCTAACTGATTATTACAGAGCGTAAATTCTATGTTTTTTGTCTGCAAGGGATATGAAAAAGGGTCAAATGCTTTTATCACCTTCAACTGCATCTCATTTTTCACAAATATAACAGATTCACATAAAAATAGATTTACCCTACTGAAACTGACTTAGGTTTTTGAAAATATCTAAACAATCATGTAATATACTATATGAAACAAGTTTTCATATTAATATCATCTCATCATTTTATGGTAAGACTTTCTGAGAAAAGATGTGGACAGAGTTAAACATCTTAGTGCAACATCATTTACAGATCTGAGCAATCATTTAGCACATACTACAAATATAATGTGTTTTGAGTCAAAGATTTCAGCTTGCAAATATGCTTTAATCATGCAGTACTCTGAAAGGTCAGTTTTACTTTACAAAAAGTGATGATAATCAGTTCTCAGAAGTATTTATCAACTGCAAACACCTTCCTTAAGGGATATACATGAAAACTTAGCATATTTCACAGCCATCTGTATTAGATAACTGTATAGAGAGTTTCAAGCAAGAAAAAACACTCAGTAGCTGGCAGTAGTAACTTGCTGTTCTTTTAATTAAGTGACCAAATGCACTTTCAATTGCTTACCTTTAAATTTAATGTCAAGACCACTAAATTCCAATTCAACTCCTTGAAGCGCTTCTCCTAGGGTTTCATGGTAATGGCTGATACTCTTTTTTGATCCCACACAAAAAGGAAGAGAGAAGTATTTGTATGTCTCTTGGCGATTGTGGTAAGGTCCTACTGTATTCATCCATAAAACAACTTCTTCTTTATCTTGGTACTGAAAGATAAAGTTACTGAGTTAGATGAGAAACCCAGGCAAATGAAATGAAAAGTATCTCTTATTTATACTAACTAGAGAGGCAGAAACATTCAATCATAAGCAACATATATTTAAAAGCAGTCTGATATTTCTTCTTTTCAGGTGGCAAGGTGACAAGACTTTCAGCCTGTCTTCCTATGAAAAATATTTTAGTTGATCATACAGCTTTTTAGGAGCCTGTCACAGAAGTACCACAAGAGGAGGAATGGTCACACAAAATAGATTTAAAAAAGTGGGAAAAAAAGAGCAATATAATTGGAGGAAAAAGGCAGAAATCTCAACAATTTTTGTTGTTTTTTTTTTGTAAATTTTGTGAAAGCATGCCCAGTTATGCAAGTGCCTCCTGAGGTACCGAGGGGAAGTAAATAACCTGAGGATCTTGTTAGACAAGATCTTATCAAACAAATCAAGACATTTGCCCATGAGAGAGATGTTACAGATGGGGCAACCATTGAGAGCCATGAGTTTGTTTTAGACAGCATTATAAATCAACCAAACAGGATTCAAAGTCTGTAGGAAGCCAGACTTCCTTCATTCCAGTAATCATAGCTATACTGCATTCTAAATTGGAACTCCTTCTTAATGGTCCAAAGCAGTAGTAACTTCTTATGGTCAAAATTCCCAGGGAACTATGCCCTATAGTGAGAACTAAAATTCAATTGTAGTATACTTAACAGTAGCCAAGTCATAAGATGTCAGATAGGAGGTCTGTATCTTGACATATTTCCAACATTACCACAACGGAGAGGAAAAAAAAGAAAAAAAAAAAAAACCCACAGAAGAGCAAGAAGTCTGGCCATTGCCATCAAATTCTTCGGAGGAACATTCACCCTTGACTTTCCACAGCTGCCATCAACAAACAAAACTTAAGTCCCTAACTAGGGGACAAAACCTTTTTGTCAAGTCTGTTTAATTTTTAACAAACATAATCCTTAGACCTGTTTGTCCATCAGTACATGGGTACTGTTCGAATAGAGAAGAATTAACTAACCCAAAATCATTATTTGCAGTACATCTGAAAGCATCTGGATGACGTAAAAGGTTTGCTGGTTTGCAGCTTTACAAGTAAGTTGCATTACTCACTCAAGATAACCCCTTCATCTGTGTTAATTTCAGCAGATCAGCGGGCATATTGGTCTAAGTCTTGGGGCAGAAAACACTGCCTCAAAGCCACCAGCATACAGACAGATCACCATATAAACAGAGGACTTTTTTTTAGAGCGCACAGGAATGAAGTACTGTTAAGACTGATATACAAACACAGAAGAAAAGTCAGTTGTTAGTTAGTTATCACTATTCCAGAAAATAGTTAAAATACGGTACTTAGTTGTGCATCTCTATTTTAACAAAAGGAGAGAGGTCCTTCAACTTCATTTACTCTGAATAATCACTGTCATACTGACAATTTAACAAGTTAAGAAATTATTAGCTACATGCAAAATGCATAAAACTCTTGAAGTGTTCAAAAGTTAATTTCATGGATTTAAATAAGTGTGTTTTAGAAGGTAATTTAACCCCTTTATCTCAACATGTCACTTCAGCTAGGAGCCCCTCTCTTTTGCTTACGATGTGGCACAAGAGTCTGTCTTGCATCTTTTCCTTGAGCTATCTCCAACAGGAAAATTTCATTCCAAGCAGCAGTAGCAGAGATCAAACACTTTGCAGCTTCACAAACCTGCCTGAGAAAGGAGCCCACACCCTGGAACGGCTCCAAAGGGTAAAAACCGTCCAGGAGGAAGCAAAGGAAACAACACAACTAGATAAAGCAGACACTCCCCCTCTACACCCATGGCCAGGAAGGTTATACCTGTACCACACAGCTGTCTGACTTCCAAAGAAAGTTGAGAAAGAAAAAAATACAGTTCCAGTCACTCAGCAGAGGAAGCAGATAGCACAATCCTCACTACGGCTCTCACCAAGGCAGCAAGGGACAAACTGGTCCTCACTTCCTCCTATCCTGCCACACCTCTGTTTTTCGTTCCTTCCGCTAATAGCTACAGGATATTTTATGCCCTTTCTCAAAATGATGTTAACCTGCTGATACCATAGTTTAGCATTATTTCCTCTAATACAACAACTTTGATACAAACCAACAACTTAGACACAAACCAGAATCACAGAACGGTTGAGGTTGGAAGGGACCTCTAGAGATCATCTAGTCCAACCTCGCTGCTCAAGCAGGGACACCTACAGCATGTGGCACAGGGTGGCGTCCAGGCGGATTTTGAAAATCTCCAGAGAAGGAGACTCCACGACCTCTTTGGGCAGCCTGTTCCAGCACTCTGTCACCCTCTTCCTCATACAGAGATGAAGCTTCCTATGTTTCAGTTTGCACCACCCATAATCTGTTGCTCTGTCGCTGGCCACCACCAAGAAGAGTTTGCCCCATTCTCTTTACATTGTCCGTTCAGGTATTTGTTGATAACATCCCCTCCGTCTTCTCTTCTCCAGGCTAAACAGGCCCAGCTTGCTTAGTCTTTCCTTGTAAGACAGATGTTTGAGTCCCTTAATCCTCTTTGTCACTCTACACTGGACCCTCTCTAGAAGTTCCACACCCAAATCGAACATAACCAAAGAAGTCACTCCATTTTTGTCACTTTCTCATTTTTCACAACCATCACAGCAAAATAGCTAAAGGGAAAACCGGTCAGGACTCCCATATAAAATAACAGGGTTCCCTGGCACTCCCAGGCTATGCCTCATTCACAACCATTAGGTCTCTAAGTTATAGCAATTTGCAATCCATTAAGTGCGCACTTGTCAGATTTTGCTCAATTCGGTGGATGGATTTTCAAGTTTAAAAGTGCTTCTGTGTTAGTTACCTATAATCTCATTTAAACAAAGAGTGCGAGGACAGGTATAACACAGCACGTCTTCAAACCTAGAAGCCGAAGGGTCTAGTTGTAGCCAATACTTTCCTTTGAAGTGGAAGAAAGACGCAGAAGTAATTACTAGATACAACCATTTCAGTAAGAAATAATTTCTTGACTGCTATCACATTCCCATACAGTGAAGAAACTAACACAAGCCCACCAGCACCTCACCCACTTGTAACACTTTTGGAAAGAAAACTCCCTATTTTCAAAACCAGTATCTGAAATGGCACTTTTCAGACCAACTCCCAGTGGGGAGATACTCTTATCTGTGCACTGTCATACATCCAGACAGTATGACAAATTCACGTGCAAAGTGTTACAACCTTGCAATGGAGATGTCTGTCACTATCTTGCTTCACACCATTACAAAGCATCAGGAAAATTTATTTACAGAAAGCTTAAGAAACTGCTTTCTTTTCTGCCAACCCTCCTCATTCAATTTCTTAAAACTTTCTTCTTCATAGCTTCCTTCACACAAAACTCACCTTTGCCTTGACTGCTCAGTCCCACTCAGCCAAGAGGCATGGCAGCCAAAGCCCTTTCGTGCACCCCACTGAATCCCAGTATCACTTTTTCACTTTTTAAAACATCCAGAGATGGAAGAGAAAATAGACCAATGGCTGGTACTACTTTTTTTTTTTTTTGTATTTTTAGGGCAATTTGTTAGCAAGGAGCTCAGTGCTGTCAAAGAATTCAAGTGCTTTCTTGCATTACTGCTTTCTCAATATCAAAGTATTTACAACAGTCAATGCTAATGCGAAAGAATTATAGGAAAAAAAAATTGTTGAGGCAAGATAGCTACAGTATCTTCTGGGCCTGTTCTGTCACTTCACTATGAGGTTTTTCAGATTTGGAGAATGCTTATGTAAGGGAATCTTACAGCTAGCACTTCCACACTGGGACAGGAAGACCTCACAAGACAATTTGCTAAAGAGCCCTGGGGTTCCAAGCGGGCCGTGGCTGTCAGGCACTCTAGTAGCACCAACAAGATTATGGTCAGCCCTCTCACCAACTGTATTGCAATGGTTTCAACTACTGCATGTTCCTGCATAGATTGTTTGGGGGCATTTGGAGCCTTGTACAGACTGCGAAATATAGGGGCCACAGAATATAGAAAGAAAGCTTCAGCTCAGTAGCACCATGCCTACTAGAAGAGTGGAAGGAATATGCTGAAAAACTGTTCCCCTTTCATCACAAAGCTATCACCTTTAATCATACTCGACAAAGTGACAAAAAAGAATCCTGCACTTCTACCTTCTCCTACTGTGATACTGGCTGATAAGCTGCTGCTTGGTTTTATCTTGTGAGCTTTGAATGCAATAGAGCAAATCAAAATTCTACTGACTTCTGTTAGCAGGACATCATAGTCAAAACTAGCCCAGAATAAGATACGCCATGAAGTTTGATGATCTCCTTTAGAGACTGCTCTAGAGTAATATAAAGCTTCCTTGTGCTATCACAACTGTAAGAGTATTTTTTTTTCCTTCTCTTCCTCTACATAACCAGCAAACAAAATACTTGGATTCAACAACAGATCCCTCCAAATCCCAGGAAAGGAAAGAAGGAAAAAAAAAAAAAAAAAAAAAAGTTTCAAGAACTCCCCTCAAGGTGGGCAGCAAAACTCAGCTACAATGTCCAATTTTCAAAATACACGTCAAATGTCTACAGAGTTAAAAACCTACAGCTGCTTCATCCAGAGCATTTGGCTTCTTACCAACCTAAATAGAAATTTCCTGTTCTCATTACACATACAGTGATAAAGGCTTTGAGTCACTATTTGACCCATTATTGCTATAGGACTTTTAGAAAGAAACAAGTACATTCCTATTTCAGCAGCACCAAAACTACCGAAGGCTGCAACAGGGGCTTCATTAATATATGTTCCTATGAAATACCATGTCAAATGATAACAGTAACAGTTTGCAGAGTAAACTCCAAATTATTTGAATTACTTAAATACAGTATCTAGAGTTACACTTACGCATCAAAGTAATTTAAGCTTATACATTGTGAACACCAACACCACAAATCTTTCTAGTATGAAGGATGGTTACTTCACTGTAGTGGGGTAAAGCCATTTCAGAAACAATGTTGTCATT